CTAAGGAAGCTGTAATTATAAAAAGCAAAATGACCTGTAACCAAAGATTTCTCTTGTTTCCTGTTAGAGAACGATGTTAAATTTCTCCCTTGCTTTTTAATACGCAAAACTGATATATATGGAATAATCTTCACATAAATTGCCAGGGATTAACCTAGTAAAAACAACAAGCACTAATGGCACTATTTATTTTCATTCTAATTGGCCTTTGACAAAAGGAAGCCCTACATACATTAAAAGTGTGTGTGCTATGCACATCCAAAATGTACCAGCCTAAATTTCCCTTGGCTTTTTATGACATTTCATAAGCAAGGTCAGATTTTATAGCTTGAATCTCCCTGATCCACTGCTCTGCCAATTTTATTTTTACCAGGAAAAGATGTTATCAGAGAGAAGACAAAAGCAAATCCTGTCGCACAGCTGTAGAAGACAGAATCTAGTTAGTATTCTACCCCAAGTGGATGGACAGAGAAGATCTCAAAGCATTTTTAATAGAATGGAGAAGCTCAGGATTACAGTTAAGATTCAGAAAAGTTTCTGACTTGACTGCTTTCTTCTATGCTTTCTATGCTATATAATGATTTAAAAAAAATCACCATTAATGCCTTATTATAGTTACATCTTTTTTTGACCAAAGGATACAATGTAGCCAGCAGGCAGCCAGTGGAGAGGCAGAAGAGGAACCAAAATCCCAAAGCCAATCAGGGCGAAGAAGAGGTACAACAACCAGGCAATGATCTGGAAGGGATGTGGAGGCCAGCTCCAGCCGTTCCTCCGAGCGCGCTGCACCTGGAGCTCAGCAACAGCCTCACCCAAATTCTCTGGAGCTGTCTTGTTAGGAGGTTTGCAGATGTTCATCTATAGAAAACAAAAAAGGAGAACAAAAAGATATGTTAAATGGAAATATTGTGACTGGAGACGTACTGCTCGCAGCTGGACTTAGAGAAACGAGAAACCAAGACAGCGCATCTGATGACAGACTGTGGAGGGGATTTGTGATCCCTAGGAACAAAAGGGGAGAGCAATCACGCACTCCAAAAGCAAGTAGGACAACACCACAGATTTTCAGATACAGGAAACTTGTAGGTTTTGTCAGTCTTTTAACAGATCTACACCTAAGGCAAGTGAAAAGGCCACTGGGGATATTCCAGTGGCAGTCCGGAGATCCACTGTGATCTGTTTTGGGGATGTGTTCATTTCAGAAAGGTGCTATGGATGATGGCAGAGCAAATGTTTTCACCTCTCTCACATACACCATGTATTTGCTAGTGACCAGAACTACAGGAGAAGGGAAAAGCAGGTGGCCTCACTAGAGCATGTGGTCTGGAACTGCAACCAACATCCAAGAAAACAAAGACGCTTTTGTCAGCACGTGGTCTGGAACTGCAACCTTAGCACTACCCAACATTCAAGAAAACAAAGACGCTTTTGTCAGCAGCAAGGGAAGTGGAAAGACTAGAAACTAAAAACAAGAAAGAAAAAAAAAGGAGTGAGCTGGTAATTTAATGACAAAAAGGGAGAAAGAAGCAGGAATTATTCTACAACACAACTGTAATGCAAATTGTCTCTTGCAGAACAAAACGGAAAGCTGCACAAGCAGGACATCTGTGTGGGAAGCAGCTACGCTATTCAGCGGTCCTACCCCTCCTGGCATGAGAAATTAATTGGGCAGATGAGTTAAGAAACACATCCTGAAAAGTTCTTGGTGGTTATGATTCCTGACTGCACAACAGCAACAAGCTCAGAAGGTATTTTTCCTTTTTTTTTTTTTTCTTTTTTTTTTTTCAGTGTGTGTTGGACCTCTCACTAGGCACCCTTGAGAAGAGTCAGGCTCTGTCCTCTTTACATGGTCCTTTCACATATTTATACACATTGCTAAGATAAGCCACATCGCCTGATCTCTAGCCACCAAGCCAGTCCCCTTCTCTTTGAAAGCTATTGGGTTGGTTATATGTGATTTCTCCTTCCTAAAATTATAGTGAGTTACAGATGCCTTCTTGTCCTTCTCCAGTAACAAAACAGGGTGTTAGGGAACACTTCAACTACCTGAATTAACATGGGCACCACTACCGCAAGAGGAGGAGATGGGGAGGTCTCCAGCTCCCGAGTGATGTTTTTGACAAGGCTGCATGTGCCGAGGTGCTGAATGGATCAAACCTTGACACATCTCCTTGGGGTCAACAGACAGAGAAGCGGGAGGTGAGAATATAAGACAGTACCATTTCTGCTCATCCACGCAAGTTCGGAACAAAACTAACTCCAGCCCTTGAGAAAGTAGCAGCACCTGCTCACATCCCTTTGTAGCTCGGGTGCGTGGCGGGTGGCTCGCGGGTAATAAGGAACTGTAATTAATAAAATAAACGCTTTTCTCCTGGGGGCCGTGCCTGGAGCTGGCGGGGAAGGGAGGCAGGGAGGCGGCGGGGGGTTCCGGACGGGATGGGGCGGCGCAGGGGAGG